TGTATCTATAGTCCCAGTTACTCAGAAAGCTGAGGCAGGAGGATCATTTGAACCTAGGAGTTCAGGGACAGCCTGGGCAATATAGCAAGACTCTATTAACAAAACCAACAAAAAAACATTTTGCTGGCCGGGGAAGAGACTGCCTCTCTCAGAGCAAGACAATTCAGCACACCATTCAAATGCAAATTAATCAATCAAGAGCCCATATTCCATACCATATTTTCTATATGGCCTGAATGTAATATTCAGAATGTAATATTCCTCTGCCCTTAGTAGCAACTAAGGTGAGACACTTTGCCCCAAAGCCTTCTGAAATTATTCAGACTACCAGTCCTAAACTGTTTACCATGATGTGCCTTTTGTGCAGAAACTCCAATAAAGGTTGTGGCTTAACGTTTCTGTTCTGCCCTTTCTGCTCTGACCACCAGGCGCTTCTTCAAATGGCCCCATTTGGTGTAGTGCTCATGTTCTATTGTCACCACAAGTAATTAATTCTATCACTGCCGTTAATCTTTCCATGCTGTCACTCAATTACCTCTATAAGTTTAACTACAGGTACATGCTGAAATAGGAAAGGGGAAGCCTCATCAGATACCTATCAAGGAACAAATCTATAGTGAATTTTTCTGAGGATGAGGGAGCTACAGGCAGGGCAAGAAAGGGGCTGCCCAGCAGAATGGGGCCTCTAGGAGCCATAAAATAGAGGCCTCACCAGACAAAAGGCAGAAGACAGGGGTATACCACATGAAGGACAAGCAGGGCCTCCAATATATTCCTCTGCCAACATATTTCAGCAGGACCTTGTCATCTGGTGTGCTATGCTGTGCTGAAGGTTGGCAGAGTCTAGAAGCAAGAAAACTTAACTGGAATTGAGTAAGATACTCCACTGTGTTCAAGCAATTATTTAATGATATACGCACACCTCAGGACACAGTTGTGTGTGGGTCAGTGCTAAGAAATACTGTAGAGGGGGCACAGCAAAGAAGAGGTGACCCGTGCAGGACAGAAAGGTGAGAGCTGCATAAGGCTGGAGGCTGCAGATTAAACAAGTCAGTAAAGTGTCAAATAAAATTGAGAAAAAGTAGAAGCAAGGTGCCCAAAGGAATTAGCTCCACAGTTCTGGGAGACGCAGGATTAGAAAACAGCCTAAAATGGGTGCACACCTATAATCCTAGCACTTGGAAGACTGAGGCAGGAGGGCCATTAGTTCAAGGCCAGTCTGAACTATATATCAAGACCATCTCAAAAAAAACAAACAAAAAACAAAATGAAGAAATATAGTAAATGCTGTGCTTTTCCTGCTTGCCACTCATTAAGGCCAGGTGTCTTCTGAAACTATAATGCCTGTTCAGGGATCTCACATCCCTACTTGTAGGACTACATGGGACTCACATGAAACAAGTGCTAAGGAAAAAAAGAGGATAGGTAAGCCTCTAGTACTGGCCTAATGCCACTCAGCACACCAGAGACCACAGGACAGAACATTATTACAGAGATCTTGAAGAAGATTCTGGCAAAAACACCCCATGGTCTGTCTAAATATTGATCAGAAAAAATGGCCCCAAATCCTGACACAATGCAAGGTCACCTAGGAGGAAGTGCAGAACTTGTGACATAAAGTCACACAGGTGAGGACACTGTGATCCAAAGAGGCTATGGATAAGAAAGGTGAAACCAATTAGGCAGACTCAAGAGCTCTGGATTCTCTCCTGCATTCTTTGGAGCAGTACATTTCAGACTTCTCAGGAAGGACACACACCTCATCCCTGACACCACGGCACATATGCCAAGACTGGGAAAGTCTGCAGGGCCTAGGTCTGGCGAGAACAGTCCTAACTCTGGAGGAAAAGTGGATAGACAGAAACCAGTTCAAGAGTGCAGAGTCAGTGTGAGGGCCTTACCCAGTGAAGTTACAAGTGCAAAGTTCTCCAGCATCACACCGAGGTACAGGAGCCTCTGAGTCTCATCAAGAAGCCCCCACTCTTCCTGGGAGAAGGAAATGGCCACGTCCTCAAAGGTCACACAGTCCTGCCATGGTGAGGACAGATCTTTCCATGATCAGCTTCCCTCCCGCAGCCCCAAGTTCATCCTCCCATATGTTCCCACTGCTCACCTACTTTCCTAACACCCACCTCTGGGCAGTTACAGGTGGCACTGATGCCCACCCTCTCCTCATGGTCCCACCAATCACTGTGTCCTCCCAACAGGCAGGTGGGCCAGGAGATGTCATCTAAACTCTGGCATTCAAGACTGGATCCCTACTAGTCAGGCAGTTTTCCTGAGGGTCTCAAATGTAGGCTCGCCCTTCATTCTGATGCCCTCCACAGTCCTATAGCTCATACTCCCCTCCATGTGATTTTAGCCTTTGTACCACACTTCTCACACAGCCTCATTCCAGTGGCCACCTCCACCCTCCTGCCTAACATCACAGGCATCTATGGTGCTCCCTCCAAACTGACATAGGGTCCAGTACCACTCAGACCTCTGATGGGCCCAACTGCCAGATGCAGCCCCTATCCTGCTCTGAAGGCCTCTGAATTAGTCTGCATTCATTACTAGAAAAATTATCTGAGGAAAGCTACTTTATAAAGAAAAGAGATCTATTTTGGCTCATGGTTCTGGAGATAGAAGTTCTACAAGCCTCTTTGGAATGGCCTTCTTGATGGCAGTCTTATATGCCAAGGGACAGGAGGAATGTATGAGAGGAGACATGTGTGCACAGTCTCTCTTCTGGTAAAGCCATCAGGACTCAATCATGGGTCTCTATGCTAAAGATTTACTCTAGTTCTAATCACCAGTTGGAATGAGCTTCTGGCCTCTTAAAACCTTACACTGGGCATTACATTTCAACATATGAAGCTTTGGGGAACACTCAAGCCATATCTAAACCACAGAAGCTTCTTGCCTATTCTGCCACCCAGAACCCCCTGTAGATCTGACACCCATAGCCCTCTTCTACATGTACCACACTTGACATCCCATCTCTGTTAAATGTCTTCTTCTCCTGTTCACACTCAATGCCCAGCCACAGCAGCCCTCTACCTCAGGCTCAGTGACTCTCTCAGATGAATACTTGTGCCTCTAAGTTTATGCACATGACTGAAGCTTCCAGACACACCAAAGATTATTTAAAAATCCCAGTGGATCTGAAGCGTGCAAAAAAACACTAAACCTAGTTTCAGTGCCTCAGTTACTCCTAGGCTTTCATATTAGTCTCACGTCCACTCATCCCTTAGAGCTTTGGCAACCTGTCAGCTCTTCCTCTTAACACATTCCTCACAGCTACTTCTCTCTCACATGTCTTTGTGATTCCCACAACCACTAGGTATAAAAGCATAAGGCCCAGTATTGACCCCACTCTCCTTTTCCTGGGCTACTAACTGCATTACCAGCAAGACTAGGCCTCCCCTTTCTAACTGTGACCTAACCTCATTGGGCAAGCACAGACCAACAGCTTGTGGCTGTAGCTATACTGAATCCCTCCTCACAGTCCAAGTCCCTTGTGGCTGGTCAACTACCCATTTGGTGTCTAAACTAACTGTTGTTTGAAACATCTCAGACTCCAAAGATGTCCCAAAACAAAACTTGATCTCCCCAGTTATAAGTGACCCTAATACAAAATTCATCCCAGTTAATGGAGCTTCAATACTTCTGGCTGTCAAACCCAAACAATCTTGCTTTTACAAACCCTGACTTACTCTCTCACACCTTCAAAAATCTGTAAGTCTGGCCTTCCCCACTTAAAAAACTGATTTAAAATCCAACAACAACCACCTCTATGGCCAACACAATGATCTGGCCACCACCAACAGTCACCTGGACTACTCCAGCAGACTTCTCACTCTTCCTATCTCACCCTCAAACTCAATGTTGCAGCCACAGGGTGCCTGTGAGGACCTAGGTCTAATCACCTCCTTCCTGGTACACAAAGCTCCCACTGCCCAACTCATTCCCAAAGAGACACCAACATTTGAGAGTCATTATAGGTCTGACCCCTGCACTCCAGATTTTAATCTCCATAAGAAATAAAGGAGACCTGGGGTTCCCTAAAACTTTCCTTCAGCATTCGCTCACCTGGTATTTAAGCCTGGGATAACCTTCCCACGGCTTACTGGAACTGGTTTCCAGCAATAGGAACAACTTCATAGAGCCACTAGCCTGGCTGTGTGGTCCTGGGTTTAACGTCTGTTCAGTACTTGGAGCCAAGGGCTACAAGAGCGCCAAGGCCGCCTGAACAGAGAAGTCCCCGCGACAAAGAGAGATGAGTACCAGTGAGGCCTTGGCACAACCTCCACTCACCTGTGCGAAGTCCATCAGCGCTTGTGGAGTCACGGGAACCTGTGGGAAGAGGAAGGAAGTGAGAGGCCAGTGACCGCTATGGGCCTCCACGGGCTCGGGCCTCCTCGTCCCCTGCCCAGCCCCAGAGCCCAGCGACCCAGGGATGACTGAGTGGTGCCGTGATCCGCGAACACGAGGCTTCAGCCTTCCAGGCTCGGCGTCATTCCCTCCCGGGCCGATCTAACATGGGACAGCTCCCTGAAAACCCAAGCTCTTCCACAGCCCCGCTCCAGTACCCGGACGGAGACCGCACCCGAGCCCGCACTGCTCCGGGCTCCGGACGCGGTGAGGCCGAGGTCGCCGCGCTCGCCCAAGCCGAGTCGCACACAGCGACCGCCGCCATTGGACACTGCGGCGGGGCGAGGTCCAGGATGCGGCTGTCACCGCTGCTCAGCGCTGCTCACGAACACCAGGGAGGACTCCCAGGTCTGGGCCCGCCCACAGCTCTCCCCCGGATCCCAACGCGAGAGTGAATGACTGGTCCACGGAGCCAAGAAAATGACTCCGGGAAGCAATAGCGGAAGTCCCGCCCTGACCTCTGCAGTGGACACAGGAGCCGACGAGGGGCGCTCCTTGGCTCAGCGTCTCGGCCCGTGATGCGCGGCGTTCTGGGTAGTGTAGTTCTCGCAGCCCCTCCTCCGGGTTTTCCCTGGTCACTCGTCCGGAAACCTGGCCTGGCGGCCACGGCAGGAACACCAGAAATGGCTTGACCTCCAGCCGCCTAGGCAGGGCGGGGGAGGGCAACTTACTTCTCTTAGAGCGTCCGCGATCCCCTTCTGTGCAGTCGCTTCTGTGTGAGACACCCAGAATTTACCGATAGACAAAGAATATGGGAAAGATAAGCGTTTATTTAGGCCACTGAGAACACAGAAGGGACAGCGGGCAGTCAGGCTGAGAGGTTGGAGGTGAAGGCGCAGCAAAGAGGCTGAGTTGGCAAATGTGATGTCTTAAAAATACCTTTCCCACGCATCCTGGCCTTCATTGCCCTTTCACAAGATCGTCATTGCAGCTAACGTTGTACATCGAAGCTGAAAATTGCTCTTGCTTATGTTATAAAGAATCTATTGGCAACGCCCCCCACCCAAAACAGGCTTTTTGTTGTAAGAAAAAAAGAAAAGTTTATTCTATTTAACAAGGGCTAGAAATTAGGAGATTTTTAGCAGCTAGCTGGGGAAAGCCGAGTTTATCACATTCGTGTGTGGATGGGCTAACAATGGGAGAGAGATCGTGGCACCTAGCTGGGAGAGATTTCATCCATGAGTGGATGGGCTAACACCAGGGGAGAAAGATATTAGCAATTAACTGGGAAAGGAATTAGACTTATATAGGTATTGAATGAGCTAAGGAATCTGGGGTGACATATTTACGACTCAGATGCCCAGGGAAGGTCTGTTCAGGTATGTATACAATTACTGAACTTTTCGGCGCCAAGGGGTTGTAAAACACATTTTTTAGTCCATTTGCCCTACTTACTGGGAAGCTGCTAGTATTCGCTAAAAGCAGCCTGTTTTTTCCTGTTGATTTAGGGCAGGCCTGATGGTTTAGGCCTCAAAAAAGGGTGTCAAAACTTAGATAAGGGTATCTGAATGTTAATCATTTTGGGAAAGCTATAACATTAGCCCAGGGGAGGAAAGGGTAGTTTTTGTATTTACTGTTATCTTGTGTTTGTTTTAGACCTCATTAGTGCAGAGCTTCATGACTGTCCAGGACTTGCTGGGAAGAAGTGTGTTATGAAAGAAGTTTGGGTGCAGAGAGTTTTCACCCTGTGTGCTTGCCCCCTTCAGGACCCTAAAGGGAAGATGCTGCCAATGGGCTGTGGGGTTCTTTGCTCAGCTCATGTGGAGAATTTACAGATTAGGGAATGCAGCTCCACCTTCAGCGCCAGCTCTATCAGCTCTTATCGTTGGCAGCCCTCCTTGCTTGTTGGAGCAAATTACAGATGGGCCTTGAGTTCCTGCCAGCCTCTGAAATGGTGACTCCAGTGAGTATGCATGCAATCCCTTATTCTCTGCTGCTAGCTGCGTCCAGTGTCCCCAGCCCCAACTCTTGGCCACTTTTGGCTCTTAGGCCATTTTGTACCAGTGCCCTTAGGTGTTACCAGCACTTAGTGTACGAGCTCAGCATACTGTACTCAAGGTACAAATCATGAATGGGCAAAAATATGCCATTCAAAAGGTGCTTTATTAGGATTTCTGCTATAGCACTGGGATTAAGCAGGAAGACTGACAGCTAAGGGTATGGGGATATTTCTTATGAAAGAATAAAGGTCCAGGCCCTAGGCACAGTATCAGACTTTCTGTTTGATCATGGGCAGGAGGGGAGCTTCTTGGGGACCTGAATGAGGAGAGCTGCAGAGGGCCAGAGTCATCGCAGATAATTCTAGGAGGGAAGTTTGTTGCAACCAAACCAAATGTCTCCTGGAGTAGCTGTGGCTGGCTGTGAGGCACTTGGGCAGCCAGGAAAGAAAAATAAGTGGCTCAAGGGGAGCTTTGAGCCCGTCTCTCCTGTCTCAGCTTGTTTGGGGAAGCCTTGGACCTTTCTGCAGCCTACACAGCCCCCTGGGGTCTGCAGAATGGGAGAGTTAGGATTTGGCTGCTGAGGAGACATGCAGGACTTAGTGGGGGAGGAGGCTTTGATGACCTCCGCAAAGGAGCTGAGTACTCCCTGTGACTTTGCTGGTGGCCTTGCACCATGGCATCTGGTGTCTCTGTGCACCTGCTCCCAACCCTTGACTTGGTCCCTCACCTTCCTTTACATCTCTGAAAAGAACTAAGGATGTCACCTCAGGAAGGCTGAGCATGAGACCTCATTTGAGACCTGCCCCCGTGAGGTGCCAGGAGGACATGTGCCCTGTCCACCCTAAGGAAGAGCCCACTGAGGACCAGCAAGGCTGGAGTACATGAAGACCCAAATCTCACTGGAGTGGTGTCTGAAAAGCAGTCCAAGCCAAGAGTGAATTCCTTCTGAACAACTGACCTACAGTTATCAAAAAAGAAAGTTGAAAAATACTTGGAGAGAGGTCGGAGAGTGAGGATCCCTCATGGGACAAGAGTAGTCTAAGTAGAGGCCACCAGGGATAACTGTTGCTCTGAGTTCCTCCTGACCCTGTGATCAGCTTGCAGTTCTGCCCCTCCACAAAGGGACCTGTTACGTCACCTGTCTCTCCTAAGGTGGAGCCTTGCTGGGTCTCCACTGAGACAGTTTAGGCTGTTCAGGAGGAGTCATCTCCTGGGTACTAGGAATTCTAATACCACCCGCCCATTGTAGCCAGTTCTGAGCCCTGCAGCCCTTCTCTGCTGAGCCCTAGGGAGTCACATCCTGCACAGCCCACAGCTCAGTGTCACACCAAACACCTTGTGAGCCATGATGCTTCTGAAGCATCTTTAGGCTTCATCTTTATGCCTCTCCTCCTTTGTCAGGCTGACACTTGAATTCTAGCTGCTTCCTCGGCCCTGAGCTCTGTGTCCATGGAAGTGCACAGAGAACAGTATGAAATCTCAAACCTATCTAAAAAAAAGAAGATAATCTTATTTAAAGAAGATTTCTCTTTCTAGAAATCACTTGAATTTGAAAAATTATTTTCCCAGCTGAATAAGGGAAGAAAAATCCCAAAATGAGAGGCTCAGGTCATATTATATATTTACCTTAATTCAAAAGGGATGTTTCCAATTCCTGCTGTAGATTTATTTTGCTCTGTGGAGTTTGCTTGCTAGAAGGAGTCTGAATTTCCCTAAGGTCACCTAGGAAATGGGAGAGTGTAGGGAACAGGGAAAGGGATTGTTACTAGAACCTCTGCAGTAAGTCCTAGTCTCCTGAGAGCCACAACAGCACAAGGTGAATTAATTTATTAAATAGAAAAGATAGAAAAATGAGACGTGGAGAAGAAGCTGAGCTTTGGGCCTGATCAGTGCCGCTCTGGGCACAAAGAGGAAAGACCCTGAGCTTGCCACACCTTTATTCGGTACATCGGGAGAAATAAATGTAACAGGTGGCTCAGAGGAGGGGTGTGTGTGTGTATGTGTGTGTGTGTGTGAATCCTAGAACAATGAAGAACTATGCAGATGAAGATTTTGTTCCTCACCAGGATGTCTTCAGCTGGTATAATCCTGCTCTGGAGCATCACAATATCACCAGACCATTGAGGTTTTAGCCATGGCCGGAGGCCAAAATGGAGTTAAGTCTCGACCTGCCATAGCTGGCCTGTAGGCGGAGAACTAGGCTCAATCATAATTTAATTGTGAAATGATTTTTCCCCAAAATTATGTAGAATTGCTCCCAGCAGGAGTGGAATGTGGCGGGAAGGGTTGAACATTTGGGCTGAAAGTCTGATAGAAATTAGCATGGGGAAGAGCAAGGGAACCTCTAGAAATGGAATAGGCTTTTAAAGAGGCTCTGGGGCCCCAGAAGAGGCATCAGCCCATGTTTGTGCACTGGTAGTGGGTAAGAAGCGAGGGAAAGATAGATGAGAAAAGGGAATATCAAAAACAGGAGTACATTACATCAAATATCAATATATAATTACTAAGAATAGGCACATCAAAACTATGATGATAGACTATTTCACATCTACCAGGATGGCTGTTGAAACATAAGCAAAAACAATAACAAGGCTTTTGGTAAATTGAAACGCTCATACACTGATGGTGAGAATGTGATATGAGGCAGTTATTGTGGAAAACACTGTAGCAGTTCCTCAAAAAGTTAAATATAGAAATTTCCATATGATACCACAATTCCATTCTTGGCTATATACTCTGAAGAACTGAAAACAGGGATTCAAACAGATATCTGTATACCCACATCAATAGCAGAATTATCCACAGTATCCAAAAGGTGAAATCAACCTAAATGTCCATCAATGGATGAATGGATTTTAAAAAGTGAAACCTTCAAATAATGAAATAGTATTCAACCATAAAAAGAAGATCAGTTATGATATATGTCACAACAAGGATGAACTTTGAAAACTATGCCAAGTGGTATAAGCCAGATACATGTATGTGACAAATATTGTTCAGTTCCATATTTATGAAGTATATAAAATAGACAAATTTATAGAGACAGAAGGCAAGTTAGAGGGTACCAAGGGCTAGATGGAGGGAAGAAAGAGGAGTTACTGTTTACTGTTTACACAATTTCTGTTTGGGTTGATTAAAATAGTTTTGAAGCCAGGCATGGTGGTGCACACCTGTAATCTTAATACTTGGGAGGCTGAGTCAGGAGGATTGTCATGAGATCAAAGATGGATTGGGCTCCATAGTGAGTTCAACTCCAGCCTAAACTACATAGCAAGATCTTATTTCAAAAAATAATAATAATAGAGTTTTGGAAACAGTGGAGTATGTGCACAGCAATAATGTTAATTGAAATATACAAGAAACACAAGCATGGTTTCTCTTACAGGAGAGACCCAAAACATAAATAAAAGGTCAGTAACAAAAAATAGGGAGATAGATCTTTTGCACATGGAAATGGGATCAAAAGATGATGGAAGGGGAGGAAATGGAAGGACAGAGGATAAAATTGAGATGTGTTATGTACATGTATCAATTCCCACAAGGAAAGTAATCATTATGTACTGAAAATACATACTCATAAATAAAAACCGAAAAAAGAAAACACAACACTGAATTTTACATTACATATAATTTACTACTATATGCCAAAAGCACCCCAAGTAAGAGCTTCTCCAAATCCACAACTCAAAACTTTCCCTCTACAGTACTATTTCAAACTTCCATGAACTTTTCCACTGAAGCTAAAGTAGTTGCACACATAAAGTCCATGTTAAATCCCTTATAGGATCTAATGGCTCCAATCTACATAGAATGACACATTCCTACCAGGAATGTGAAAATTATTACTACTGTAAATATTGACAGTGATAGAAGGAATGATTGATGTACAGAAAAAGTCTCATGGTCATTGCCAAACTAAGAAAAGTTGTTTTCTTGTCTGGCAGGGAAAATAGAACTCAGAGAAATGAGTATCACTGTGAGTGAGTACAAAAAAGGCACTGAATGTTTGGAAACATGAAAATGATATCATAGAAGTATTCAGCAGCCACTGGCCTGGAATTGCAAATAAAGTTATGCAAACATGCAAAATGGAACAGAGTGAGTAAAATGAACAAAAGGAGATTACAAAGATCAAAATGGTGCGTGTGGCTCTGGCCTCACGGGAAGGTCTGGGATAACAGCTATTGTTGTGGATTTCGCTGGGAGCAACTGAAAGACTCACAGGAGATGGAGGAGCAAGGGTAAAACAACAAAATTTATTTGCTAGCAGGCCAGCCCCACAGGAACATGCCTTCAGGGACTGACCCGGAGTTACATTGGTGGCTTACATTTATACTCTAAACTGGGAACTCTGGTCATGTGATTCACAGAAACCTTAGGGTCTATGTGTACTTTTGTTTGTGAGGCATGGTGACTGTTATCTTGGTTCAGACATCTGGCCTCACTTGGGTGGGAAGTTGCGGTTACGCAGTGTTGCAGGCATTTGCTTATCTCATGCTTACAATCTTGTGGTTGATGGTAAAACATCTGGTATTGCTATTCTGAGAAAGCGAAACAAGTGAAGCAAGTTATAGAAGCAGAATGAAGCAAGCAGTTATTTTACATTTTCCTTAACACTGTGGCTATGGATATGTTGGACTCGCTGGTTGTGTCTGTGCAGGACCAGGACTATGGAGCCACTGGTCCCGACCATGAGTGCAAAACATATAAAGTCAATTGGGAAGAATAAGAATACAACTAGAAATTTTATGGATCTATGTGGAATGAATGAGGAACAGCATCCATAATTTATTTTCACACTTAAATTTTTGCTGTACATTTGACCAGTCACTTTGAGGGGAGCAAAGAAATTTACCAGCGGATGCAGGATCCAGTAGAGGAAGCACCTGAACCCAGTGCACTTTGAGGATCTTACTCTGAGCTCTAGCCATGTAGAGAAATTGGGACAACGTTTTATAGCCTGAAAGCCATTGAGTATACATAGTGCTGAGGGTAAACCCTCTGGCCACTATGTGTAGGTAGAAGACAAGTTTACATCCAGTCTCACCTAGTAAACAGTTCAATCCAAAAGCTACCATTGTCTGAGGGATCCCTCTAGAGACAAGTACAAAGGAACTGGCTAAGACAAGCCAGTTGAGGATCATGTCAGTGGGTCTCACATTGTTTCCCATGAGCAAATTGAAACTATGAAGACAGAGGAGGGAGAAGTTTCCAAGGATTCCCACTGCCGTCTGAATAAGGAAGATAACCCCCATTCTCAATGTAACGGCAGCCATCACACCAGTATATTTGGGACAAGGATTTAGATTGAAGCCAAAGGAAGGATAGTTTGACAAGAAAAAAATAAATGTTACCATCACCAGGCTCAGTCAGTGTCAGTGCTGAACATAACACATTTCCTCAGTTTAAATGGGCATTAAGTATGTGTACTTGTTGGGAACAGTGGCTATTGATGAAAGTTCTATTTTGAAACAGTTTACATGTCTATCTGCAGGACCCAGGTCAATGCGTAATGGTCCATCTATACAATAGGTTTCCATACTAATAAACAGAATGAGGAAGATCACCAACACTCTGGTCTAGTTTCCAAGTGGATGCTTTCTGAAATGAGAAGCCACATGCAGAACTGCGTGAAATATGCTAAAGCTTATGTAAGTATGTGGAACAATAGAAATACAGGAACAGAATATGTATAAATACATAAGCAGAATATATATAGCATAGGCATTTAGAAGAAAATTTTGCCATAGTGATTACTTTATATGAATATAATTATTTCACACAATTTTTAAACATTACTGAATGAATTAAATGTTTTCAAAACATAAACTTCAGATGTTAAAAAATGGCTGAATATCCAGTTGGTGGCATCTTTATTACAATGAAATACTTCAAGTGAATTGAAAACACAAAATTTCACTCTATATGGTAGAAGTAATGTGTTGAGCTGAGCTATCTGTAAATATATCTTAATCTTTGTATATATATTTTACTAAAAATCTTTGCATGTTATTTTTGAAACAAGCAAACATATATATGAAAAACAAGGCTTTCTATGTAAGAAATATAAAGTTCTATGTACATGGAAATATAAAGGTAAAATAAGTAAAACTAACATAACTTGATAGGAATAAGCAATATTAACTCATTTAATACTTTATCTTTTTTTGGTGCTGGCAGTTGAACTCATGGACTTGCAGTATTCCACTGTGCTACATTCCCAGATTTCTTAATGAATTTTAAATGTATATTTAAAGTATAAAAAGAATATAGAAATATATATCCTTTCTCTTCATTTTTTTTTTTTTTTGGTACCGGGGATCAAACTCAGGACCTTGCGCTTTCGAGGCAGGCAGCAGAACCACTGAGCTAAATCGCTGGCCCTCTTTCTCTTCATATTGAAAAAAATCTAGAAATTACAGACAGCCATGTAACATTGCTTAATTCTAGCACCTAGATTTTTGAGTCAATACAATTTCTCAGTATAAGAAAGCAAAGTGTCTTCTAGTGATTGGAGAAGACTTTAGGAATAGAAAAAGCTTATCCTGGGTCTGATGTAGGAATTTTCCAAGATTTTATTGAATGATCTAGTCAAATAATGAAGGTGATGAAACTAATAGAAGCATTCATGTAGGTCATTTGAATGGGTCACAATCCAGGATTCCTTTCGAAGAAGCTAAACTTAACAATATTGTGCAATCCTAATTCCAAGAATTGATGCACAGGAAGTAATACATCTGGTAAAAAATGATACACAGCCTCTAAGGTTAATACTGGGAGATATTTGGAGAACAACTCATTTTTCTGAAAACTGATAGAATATCAACCCTTTCTCATACCTGTGTGTACGGCTATAGTTCATGTTAAGAAATCTCTCTCCAGGCAAACAAACCTGACCTGTTGTGGGTGAGACTTGAAGCCACACAAAAATATGTTCTGTCATCTGTAAAGACAAAATGAAGGAATGAAACAATAATTTCACCATTTTAGGGGAGACATCCCCTTAAAACAACACCCCCTTGCAGACACACTGATGTTTTGGTATTAAGTCATGAAGCATTGGGATGTCTGCAACTCAAGAAGAAACAAAGCTCCCAGCTGGACAGCACCTTACTGAGTCACTATCCTTCTGGACAGTCACAGACATTTCTATGGAGTAGGAATCACAGCTGTGAGATGCATATCCATTTTCACGGCTGAGGATTGAAATGTTTGCACATTTGAGGTGCATTCTAGGAAAACAGGAAATGCTATTAGGATCAATAATATTATTTAGAAAAAACACAAATCAAAATAGTCAGAAATTTTCATTTATATTTTAATAGTTTCCTTAAACTGAAAACCAAAAATATATTAGTGAAAGACAAGGGAGATTTTAGAAACATTAAGTATGGGGAAGGAAACATTGATTGCTAACAAAAAAATGGTATTTAAATAACAAAATTCTTTTTAAATAGTAGCAAAGGAGACTGTTGTCCTAGATGAATTTTTTCCAATGTTAGTAATTCAGTGCACACTAGTATGTTATTGAATAAAATTTCAATGAAAATGTTGACATTTATGAAGTTCTTTTACTAATACAAAAATTTTTAAACCAGTTTAATAAAAAATATGTATCGTACCATGTATAAAGTATAACAGTAACTGTAATTTGCTGCTAAAGAGCAGAGAAACGAAACAGGACACAACTTGAAAATGACCTATGTTTGCAGATACTTACATAAGAAAAGTTGATAGGAACTTACGTCTTGTTAAAGTGAATGATGAATTATTTGTGATAATGGCTGACTTAATAATATTAAAATTTATGGAGAATTAGTTAAGATTTTACAGGTACGTTTCTAGGTTTAATCTTAGAAACAAACAATGAGTGTAAATATAAAAAATGGCAAATCTCTTAGACAAAAATATTGCAATATATTTTTCATAATTTTGCCTGAGCTAAGTATTACTGTGTATGTGTCAGCCCTGAGGTTCCAAAATATTTTTAGTATACATGATTTTACAAAAAAATTAGACTGAATATGTTTCCCTACCCTCTCCACCCATTCTTTGCTGATCCCACACCTTATTCCATAGGCTTGGGGTGCCTGTCCCTCTAAGGCCTGTGGATATAAGCAATGTGTGCGTCTCCTGTGTTCTCTATTGGGGTTGCATCTGACAGACTATCATGTGAAATGAACACTTGCAGATCTATACCTTTTTAATAACCATTCAGAATGCTAAATACATGACATTTGTATATCTTTTCTATTGTTTTCCTGAGAAATCTTGCAATTTAACATTGAGTATTTAAAATCTTTTGTAAAAATATTGCAATCATGTTTCAATAACCAAAATAAAGGGAATAATTCATATGTGAGTGTGGGGGAAACGTCACTTTTGGTAAACAAACTGCTGACTACTGATAATGGAACCAGCCAGAGGAGGGATGCGTAGTGGGAAAGCGTGTCTTTTGCTTATTTGTGGTGGTGCTGGGGATTTAATCTAGGACCTTACACATGTACTAGGCAAACACTCTGCCACTGAGCTACGCTCAGGAAAAAATGACAGATTCAGAAGCTATTGCAGTGAGGGACGAAGAGAGACACTAGGCAGGCTGAAGGCAGGTGGGAAGGGACTCAGTAAGCATCAATATTATCAGAAAATATCAATCCCTAGTCGATAGATAGTGTTTGTGCCCATCCCAGAGAAAATGTAAGAGAGAGAAAAGAGAGGAGGGGAGATAGAAGGAGAGAGAGAGAGTTTTTGACTGAATTTTTTATGATGTGATTCTTTTGTAAATCTAACACTGATATGAAAAATATAGACACTTACCAAATGACATTTGAGGTCGGACCAGTGGGTGCTAGCTCAGCATCTGTTCAGGTGTGGGAAGGAGGAATCTGAGCCAAGATAAAGGTTGCCCTGCCTGGGAAGTGATTAGCATTTCAGCTGTAATTACAGAGACAGTATCTACAGACGGAGTTGGGATCATCTCTGGAAAACATTTACACTTGTACAAATTACTGAAAGGTATTGACATTGAATTCTAAAGCTCCATCAAAAGTCATAGAAATAGGTGGGAAACAACTTGTTATCGAAATAATTACAAATAAAAACAAAAGTCTTGGGTAATACCGAACAAGACAGAAAAGAAAAGTTAACTAATAAGTATAGAAATACTAAGCATGTCCTTTAGGATTATCAATCATTTTAAAGTTTGTCTCAAATTTTGATTTCTTTTTTAGATGTTATCTTATTATTGTTTTCATTCTTAAAGTTAGTATATATTTGCAATACATAGTAAATATATCCTTGTGACATTGGGGTTCTGCTTAGAAAGTCCTTTCCTGTGCCTTATATGAGAAACTCAGAGTAAAAATCATTTACAAAGCAAAGTAAAAGATAGACAATAGAAAACAGGGAGCTGTATCTTTTGCAAATGGGAAGGGATTTAGAGTTGGGGGAGAGAGTGGGGGAATAAAAAGAATTAAGATATGAGGGCTGAGGATGTAGCTCAGTGGTGCCACACCTGCCTTGAAAGCCCAAGGTCCTGAGTTCAATCTCCAGTACCCCAAAAAAGAAAAAGTGAAGTCCATGTACCTACTCCCTAAGATAAATGTAAACATTATGCACTGCAAACATGTACTGATAAAAATTAAATAAACATTAAAAATAAAAACATTCACTTTGGGGAATTGGTACATACACATATTGCATATCCTTTTCACTTACCCTTTCTCTCCCCTTCCTCCCATCTTCCCCCACCCAGAGCCCTTCCTTCTCCACAAAGTTTATCTCCCTGTTTCTAGTCAAAATATGCTTTCTTTTCAGACCTAGTTCACTGACAGTACTGAAGTTCACTGACTAGTTCACTGACTGAAGTTGAAAAGAAGTCAGTGAGTGAGAAGAAATAGTAAGAACAGCTCATTGGTTCAGATGGGACAGAAATGTATGATATCATACTCATTTAGTGTCCGCCAGGCATTTATTGGGCACTTTGATAACTACAGTGAACCAACAGTGTAGGGAACATGTAATCCAGCTGCTAGAGAGGGAAACACCCAATATTAAGCAAAATTAACTTACTCAATTATTTCTATGTCAGAAGGAAAAAAGGAAAAGAACATGGGCGGTCACAAGTTCCTGGGGCAAGAGAGGGTTTCGATATGGGCCAAGATATTGCTGGAAATGACATCAGACAATGGGAGCTTTTGACACAGGTGCAGTGGAAGTAGATTGGCCAAATAGCGCAAGCACACACACTACTGCACAGGCGAACGCTCTGGAGGCAGGAGAGGGCCATCAGCTGAACTGGAGCTTCAGATGGAGGGTGTCCCTGACTGGCCGAGAGACTGTCCCAACTGCTGCTCCCAGAGCAAAGAGAACAGCAGGTTTTTATCGATTTTCTAGGTCGGGCTGAACGATGACACTTTTCACTGGCCAGGAGTACAGTTCCGAAAGCTGCTCCTTCTTGAGATGTACTTGGACCCTTCTGGAGTCACAGTTTACTGGTCTTAGATTGTTGAATTTTTATGCATCTGGCATCATTGTTCTATGCAAAACATCCGAGGCTTGTGGGTCTGGGCCCTGTGATGAAGACTTCAAGTACTGGGGGTTCAGCGGCTTCTGAAGACACTCAAGGTCGGGGAGGGACAGAAAAGAGCAGAGAGAAAAAGAAATGAAAACACATACGAGCATATATTTGAGAATGTTCCATCACAAAATGTATTTCCAAATCTTTTGCCTTTTACTGCCTTATGTGAACATTGTCTTTATAGATTCTAAATACAACTAAATGATAAGAACTAAGGTTATGAAGTCATTTTCAAATTTTTAGAGGACAGTCTCTTTTATTTATGGAATTTAGATTATTTCAACACACTTTTATGGAAATTGCTTTGGCTTTTAAAAATAATCCATGAGGACATGTATGTATGTCTGTGTGTGTAGGTGTCCATGTGTGTATGTGTCTATGTGTGTATCTATTTCCAGGCATTGTGCTTATTCCAGTGACCCGTGTGTTTGTCATTATGTATATTATCTTGTTATGACAATAATTTTTTTTAAATTAACTATATTGGTACATTTCAGGTATACATTATGATCACATTCATCATTGGGAATTTGTACCTCTACATGATAGATCATAGTTCTTATTTTTCCCCATTCCCCTTCCCTCCCTTCCTATTTTGTAAATAGGGAGTTATCACAATAATTTAAATTTTTCTTATTAACATTGCTGATTAAATAATCATAGTTGTATACATTTATGAGGTACAATGTGATGTTTTGATACATATATACGAAGTGCAATGTTTAAATCAATTAACAAATTCATCACCTCACTTAGCTATCTGTTCTTAGCTATCATTTTATGGTAATTATGTTTATATATCAAGAGTTCTTTTTTGGTACTGGGGATCAAACTCGGGACTTTGTGCTTGCCAGGCGGCGGCACCACTAGCTAAATCCCCAGCACCCTATGGTAATTATTTTTAATTTCAAATAATTTTAAATTTATAGAAAAGCTGTAGAACACACCTCAAAGAATTCTCATAATACACTTTCCCAGTTTCCCCCCAAATTAGCATTTTATGTACCATAATAAAATAATTAGGGCTAGAAAATGAACATTTATACTGTACTGTGAGATAAATTGTAAATTCTATTTAAGTTTGCCAGGTTTTTATTTATGTCTTTTTTTCTGTTCCAAAATCCAGTCAGAATACCACACTATATTCAGGTGTCATGCCTCCCTGGTCTCTCCAAATACATGCAGTTCCTCAGTTTTCATTATGACATCTTAATTTCTAATACTTTTGGAATGTAATGGTTAGGTGATTTCTGAAATGTCCCCCAAGTTGAAATATATGACATTCTCTTATGGACAGTTCAAGGCTATATATGGTTTGGTTAGAATATCCAAAAGTAATATTCCCTTCTCAGTGGATCATTTTGAAGCAGCACAATGTTGAGGGTTTTGTCTCAGCAATGAGAAAGCAGGTAAGATATGAGAGAAGTTTGACAAAATAATTAGTAATCTATCTTACCTAAGTTCACGTGGTGAAAGAACTACAGCAGTTTATTTTGCTGTTAAACATTGGGCTATAAGGACCATTTAATAGATTTTACCTAGAAAATAAAACCAAACATATACATGAATGGAGAAGGAATGTTCCTGCTCATACATTAAAGCATTTCCTAAAATAGCATCCATAGGACTGGTCCTACTGTGGGCATCCTATGCTCTGTGTGACCCGTCCCTGTGGCCACAATTCACTGAACACACACTCTGCTCTTCTCTCTTATCCATGGAACTTACTGCTTCTGACAATATAATAGTAACTTCAATGAATTTGGTTGAGAGAAACAGGCCATTTGTGGGCAAAATTATCTTAATGTCTATGTTCTTCGTTCTTATTTTGTCCCCTTCCCTTGCCCTCCCTTCACCCCCTCCACCCTTCCCTGTTTGCAAAGACCTTGTTTCCAATTTTTTCCTCTTCTCATATTTTTTCCTTTCCCTTTTTTCCCTTCCCCTACCCCTCACAATTCCCCTGCTCTTTTAGACCTTTTCTTCCTGTTACACAATATCAGTTATACAGTATTTAAATTAATTACAATATTAAGATCTAGGAGACATTACCACAGATTTTACAGAATTTAAAAGGATATAGAAAGCATATTACAAAAATCTTTTTTGAAATAAATTTGACAACTTCTAAGAAGTACCTTGGAAGACAAATCAATGAAACTAACTCTGGAGGAAATATAAAATTTGAATAGCACCTATTAAAGAAAGTATATTCCTAGCTTGAAAACCTACCTATATGACAACAGCAGGCTCATAAACATTTTAACTGATAAATTATATCAAACATTTAAAGCAGAAAAAAGAAGGAACACTTCTCCCCTCATTTAAGGAAATCAACATTGTGCTAATCCTAAAACTGGATAAAGATAATAGAAGAAAAAAGTATGAACATAGATAGAAATTTGTTTAACAAAACAAACTCTTAGAAGTCAGATCTGGCAGTATGTAGAAAGTGGTTTTATTATAGGGATGGCAGTGTTGGTTCAACATTGGAAGATCAACCCCCAAAAGTAATCATTTTAACAGAGGAAAGGAAAAAGCCATATGATCCTGTCACTAGTTGGAGAAAGAGTATTGGACTAAATTCTACAGCTGTTCATGGTAAAAGCTATCAGGAGACTAGAAGTAGAACAGAACCTTCTCAACAGATCAAAGACTTAATGTCTATGTTCTAAGACATGCCCAATAAGCAGAAAATCATCTGATCCACTTAGGTTATTAAATAAATGTCTTCAAGCACTGAGTGACTATGCCCCATGATATTCCTGTCCATTTGACCCAGTTTTATTTATATACTGTCTTCCATTGAGTTCCAGTGCCTTCAAGTTCTCAGGAATAAATATTTGTATTTTCAGTCAAGATTGTAAGAGTGATTATAAATTTCACACAGTTGTGTGCTTATTTTTCTCTTTCATTCATTAGAGCCATATGTCTCTACTCAGCTTCCACCAGGATTATTGCTTATTTTGATATGGGGTCCCACCCCGAGTCTCTGCCCCTCCTGGTGAGCCTCGTTACTAATCATTTCAAAGATCCTTCAGAGACTTGCACATACACAAATGTTTCTTAGAGATCTCCCTTAGCAGATGCTGTCACTGCACTCATGGTGAAGTGACAATCACTTCCCGGCCAGGAGGTGAGGTCACAGGTTCCCAAACTTTTATCAGTGGCCCCTTTCCACACCTGACAATGCTGCCTGAACCCCACCACCTGACAGCAAGCTCCAGTCAGGTGAGTAGAAATGCTTTGGATTTTTGTTTGGTTGCTTTTTCTTTTGTGTTGGGCAGTTTGTGAAATGTATGTTCGTTTTGTTGCTTCTAATCAGTTGTACAACTGATCCATGGCAAATTACCCGAGTAATTTTATATTATTTCTTTGAGACTGAGGGTTTTTATGGTTGCAAATTTAGAGTCTTCGCACTTGATGTCAGGGAGCGCCCTCCACTCTGCTCTGCTCTCCGCACCTCTGCTCACCTCACCGGCTCTCCTGGTGCTCTGGACCCGAGTCTGCAGGGCTCTGTGCCTGTCACACAGATCTGCATCCGGGGTCTTGTCCATGGGCGACCTCTGTACAGGACCGTTGTGATGCCAGTGTCCCTTGCAAATGGACCAACTATGGACGGAATGACACCGGGAACCCTACAGCGCCTCTGATGGCTCCCAGCTATGCTATGTCACTGGCACTGAGTCCTCGGCTTCCAAACCCATCCACCACAGCTGCTCTGCCTCAGGTAAGAGTTGATTGTGTACAGGTGGGAAGGTAGGCTCAGATTCTGAGAAGGACTCCAGCCCAGAGAACCCAGGCTTTGGAACATAAAACAATAAACACACACACACATGCAGGTACATTTGGGACAGCTTTTATTTTAGAAAACCTTTGGCCTACCAGCACCCTATCCCCTGCACGATGGTGGCGGGGCTTCTCTCTTCTCTCCACTGCTACAGCTCTCTCTGAAGTTGCCCTCACTCATCCCTGACCAACACAGCTCCCTCACAGGCATCGCGTTCCCCTACAGGCATGGGACAGGTCAGATGGTGGGTTCCCAGCTGTCCGGCAGATGGCAAGAAGCTTCTGCTTGTTATCATTTTTTATTGAAAGCATGAAGATCTCTGGGGAGTCTGTAGAAACATTTCTAAAATGTATGTCCTTATTAGAAGATGGTGGCATTTATTTAAAGAAAAAGAAAGCTCATTCTTTTTCCCATGTTAGTGATTTAAAAAGGGGGGTGGTATTCAGGGAAATGTGTGGCTCACTATAGTGGCGAGAGAGAGAAGGGCTATATTATTTTCATTGTATTATTAATCTGCTACTCAGAATACCCTCTAAATTTATTTTGTAAAATATCAACATTTTTGCTCTCACTGAGATGGCAGGTTCATGTCCTTCTCCAAGAGTTGGAGTTATTAAGATCAGCCCTGTGTCTCCAAACTCTGAGCCTTCCTTGCCCTGTGTTGTTCTGCATTAATAAGCCTCAGTGATTAAAACACACCACAACTTCAAAGTTCATGGGCTCTTGTCATAGACTTGGTTTTGTAACAAGCCTTAAGATTCCTAATTTACCCCTCTGAGTTCCCTACTTGTTTTGTGAAATCATTTCAGGGTTATCTTTCAATTTTTCCCATTGTTTCCCTCCTCCTCTGAGTTTACTTCATTGTTTTGTTTTACCATGTGTCCTTTCTCCATGACTGATTTTTAAATTCCCCTTTGAAATCTTACATGATTCTTTAAAGTCATGAACCTTACAGTGATGATTCTGAACCAACTCACAGAGCGCAAAGGTCAGATGAATGAACACCCTGACCCTCCTGCCCTCTACACCCAGCCCTCCTGGAGTGACCCACATCTCTTCTTTCCAAGTTGAATAATATGTCCTCTTCAAATACAGCCGGCATATCTGGGGCATCTTGGCTTTTTTCTTTGAGAAATTTTAAGGACACCTGCAGCATTTTTCTCACACATCATGTGTCTTCGAGATGTTTTGCCTTCCTTTAGTAAGAACTGTTTTAGATACTATGGTCTTGGTACTTGGCATAAGGCTGCAAGGCTGTTTACAAATGTTACATTGCTTCATTGAAGAGAAAGTTACTATAAAATTATAGTTACTTGAACTATTTTTGGTAAGTACACATAGAGCACCACCGTGATATATAATCAAGCTCAGATTTTCATTTTACGGGGAATATTACTGATTTTGATATTTCACGTGATTAATATTTTTCAGTAATTATGTGAAATACTTAAACTACCCAAACTATAAATCAGGCCACTTCATAAACTTCATTTCTACTTTTCCATGCTGTTTGACTTCCTCCTCCTATATTTATATTCTTCTAGTGCTATAATAGTGGGATCCTATGCTGCACATGTTCTGTATCTGGCCTTTTCGTGGACAAGGTACTTGAGAGGACAGCCCGCATCAGTGCACACAGCTTCCCTTGCTTATCCCTGGGCTGCAGCCCACCCTGCTGTGCATCCATCACCCTGAAGCAGACGCTGAGGCCATTTGCAGCACTGAGATGCTGAGGTCCTCACTGAGTTGCCTTTGCATATTTAAGCAAAATTCTATGTCATTTGAAATAAAAATATTCTGAATATGCTAAATATTGAGAATTGAGGGACTCAGTGACTGTGATAACATTTATCGCCATTTGGTTAACTCTTCACTCGTCTGACTTAAAACTGGTGCCCTCCAAAGGCCTTGTAGGATGTGCTCTGCCAACTTGGATTTGGGGATTGTCTTCCTCACTCAGACAGGACTTGGCCTTGTGGGAAACTCCTACCTGCTCTGTATGTATAACTTCACTGTGCTCATTGGACATCACTTGAAACCGACAGATTTGATTCTTAATCAACTGGTATTGACCAATTTGGTGGTTCTTTTCTCGAAAGGTGTCCCTCAGACATTGTCAACTTTGGGATGGGAATATTTCCTGGATGATGCTGGGTGTAAACTTGTCTTCTACTTTTACAGAGTGAGCACTGGAGTGTCCTTCAGCACTGTCTGCCTCCTCAATGGCTTCCACACTATTAAGATCAACCCCAGTATTTGTAGATGGATGGAGCTCAAGATTAGATCCCTAAAGTTTACTGGCTTCTGCTGTTGCCTGTGTTGGATCCCACATCTCTTGATAAATTCATTTCTTCCTTTAATAGTATATGGTCCATTGAGTAAGAAAAATCTCAGCATAGAAAATAATTATGAGTATTGTTCTTGGATAACGCCACAAGGATATAGCCCATTATATACAGCCTTGTATTTTTTCCCTAACCTAATGAGTCTCATCTTCATGATCTGGGCCAGTGGCTCCATGGTCCTGGTCCTGCACAGACATAGGCTGCGAGTCCAGCACATTCGCAGACACAGCTTTTCCCCCAACCCTTCCCATGAGGCCAGAGCCACACGCACCATCCTGGTCCTGGTGAGCTCTTTTGTGACCTTTTATTCAGTCTATGTTATTTTCAGCATCTGGATGACTCTAGTCACACATCAAGGCCAGTGGATGGTGAACAGCTCTGTCCTGGTGGCCTCATGTTTCCCAGCATTCAGCCCCTTTGTGCTCATCATCAGTGACTCCAGGATCTCACAGCGCTGGTTTGCCTGCAGAGAGAAGACAAAAGTTTTTTCCTAATCCTCTTGGCATTTTGAAAGTATGCTCTTCTCAAGATATTTGAATTTTATTTCAAAATCTGTTATTATTTGAGGACTCCTTTTGTCAAGACCGTGTGACCTTATCTCCCACAAAGACAGCCAAGTCTCTATTCGCTCCAGTTGCATCATGGAACTAAAAATTAAACTGGATACTTAGGTAAACTTAGATTTGTCATCCTAACTCTTACATTCTTCCAGGTGAGAGCAGATGGGTGTGGAGTTCAGAATATTTTAAAATATCATAATAATGTAGGAAATTCTGAGTTTATGGACCCATGGAAGTCTCTTACTTGGAGCCTTTTTGAAATTCTCAGAAAGTTTCTGTTTATTATTTCTCTTGTAAATGAATTCATTTTAAATTATAAATAATTGTGTGTATTCATAGGATACAATGTGATGTTTTGTCTATGTTTGCATTGTAGAAAAATTCAGTGAAACACCAGACTAATATCTATCATATCACTTATCCTTTCTTTCTTATTTTGCTTTATTTTTGAGCAGCAAAGGAGAATTTTGTTACTGACCAAGAATAGGAGAAGTGGGCAGTAAACTCAAAAGTTAACTTTTTAATCCATTGGTGGTGGGTGGTTATAGATATGTAGTGTGGTCTTGATCCCGAAGGAAGAGAAGGCCAAAAGCAAGAGATAATCTTGAAGCCATGTATGGATATGTATTCCAGAGCGAGCATGCAGCTATTGGTTATAGACACAGAACTGATCCTGTTTGATGTGTGTTTGTGTGTGTGTGCATGCATGTGCATGTATATATGTGTGGGTGATCATTATACACCTTATTGCTTTGAATTTATAGCATTAGGATCTAACTTAAATCCCAGCTTCCAGTGGTGGACAATCTTTTGATCTGAAGCCAATGATCAGCAAATTGTCCTTTCTCACTGATTAATATTACAGATATACTTGGAAGAATGAGAAAGTGTGACTCTGATTTATTTCAGTTACTTTTTATCTAAGACACACATTTTTCCTGTTACTTCACAACATGACTTTTCTGTTACTTCATTGCAAACAATGTCATAGATATGGCAGAGCATGTGCAAAACAAAAGGGAACTGTCACTTTTGCCCAAGGCTGCACATAGAAAGTTTCAAATTTCTTAACTGCTCCTACCTTTTTCCAAAAGGCAAAAGTGTCTTCCCATGAGATCTGAGGGAGTTCCTCAACTTATGCAAGCTGAGGGTAATTCTACTTGTCTTAGCTACTGTGGTATCTAGATTAAGCTTATCAAATTTCTTCAGGGACTTGGCCTTTCCTAAAGAGCAAAATCCTACTCTTTGGACTTGTACCTACCTAAAGTGGTATAGTAGTTTCCTCATTGTTTTGTTCTGATTACTAAGAGGAAAGGGAATGGATAAGGCTTCTACTTGTCAGTTTCCTCTTCTGGGATGGACACACATTGTGTGCCTGACTCTATGGAATGATGTGTCCATTTGTGAGGTAAGAGATTGGGACTGGAGCAAACCAGAAAACCAACCAGGCAGAATATGCCTGAAGTCCTAAAAATCCAATGGCTAACTGATTGAGCAAGATATTTTCTGAAAAGAAAAGACACACAGAACATGTGACCCAAATGACCCTAGGCTTATGGCTTTGGAACATTGTTCATGAGACCAGTCAGAACTCACTATGTCTAATAATTCATTTGAATCTGGCACTGTTCTGACACAAGACCAATCAGAAGATGCTATCTCTAGTCCTTTTATATCTGGGCATGACCAATTAAAGGCACTGTTCCTAATCCTTCATTACATCTGGCTCGGGCCAAATGAGTTTTTTGATAGGACAGTTGTGCCACTACCATATTTACATGAGGTGGGGCCAATCCAGCTATTTTGGATACCGAAAACCCCTTTCCCTTTAACCTGGGGGCTGCTGTGAGCCCCCCTCACATGCCTGCTTCCACCCAGAAAGAGTATACTTCCTTATGCCTTCAATGAATCTGCACTCTCACTGGCTTTTCTGTGTGTCTTATCCAATTCTTTGTTCAGAACACCAAGGACCTGGAAAGGAGACCCTGGGACCCCATCTGGTAACATTTGGACCTTACCTTTAGAAGCAGATAAAATAATTTCGTTAGCATTTATTAAAATGCTGAGCTACCCAAAATATCAAATAATGCTTGTAAACAGTTTGGAACCCAACTTAGACTGCACTCAGTAATCAGCCTGTAAGACTGAAGAAGAGTGAAGTTACTGCTCCTAGCATAGTAGGAGCAAAATGTCATTTGCAATCCCCATTCCTAGATCTTAGCATGCATTCATGGAGATCCAGGAACCAGGAAACATTACCAATAACACACTGTGCCAAGGACTGGAGGACTCAGCCAATGAGCATGGAAGTGGGGGGGTTTTCTCTCAAACTTCCAGTGTCCTCCTATGGAACAATAATTTCTATCCTGCACCATGTAGGTTTCCAGATGGCGCCTCTGAGCCCTGGGTCTGGGTGGACTTGACTTGATCTAGAGCCCAAAGTGGAGAGCAGGCGTGCATCATCCCTGCCACATGGAGCTGGGGGGGGTGAGGCTCTGAGACATCACCCTCGGTGCCCAGCCCAGTCCAGAATGGGGACCTCTGCACCACTTCAGAGTCTGATGAGGACTGATTAATTCTTTAAATTTCTGAAAGTCATTAGTAATAATTAGTACATGCAGAAGATGTAATTGTTATAAAATCAGAAAGTGATGTAGGGAAACATGTTTAGTACAAATGTAAAAAGTTATGATTTTAGGGACGATTGAGCAAGGGTTATTCAAGTTTCAGAAGTTCAGCATGAAGCTGAGGATGTGTCTATATTGCAGCAGATAGAACAGGCACCTAGGGAAAAGCCCGACCCAAGAGAGAGCCAGTGAAAGACCAGATAAGACAAAGCCTGAGATGTAGGGCTGATAGAAAACCAGGCTCCAGGATGGAGATACAGTGGCCAAGCCTGGATCTCCAGTAGTCTGAAAAACAAAGGTCTCATGTTCAATTGGTGGGATCCTCCTGCCCAGGAAGAAGATAAAACAAGGTGATAGATAACCAATCCACCAAATCTCTATTCCTCCTCTCTCTGAAGAATGTCCTTGTCCTTGTGCTGATAATTTTAGAAAAGTTACAATTAATGGTACTTGTAAAAGTACACTTGCTATGTGCCTTGAGTTTCTATAGGCCCACTTCTTGTCAAACTCTTCTGCTTGTAACCCCATACATTGACCTCAACTTGGCCCAGAGTGGCCTCAGATGTGATCATTTTCATGTATAAAAAGCCTAGACAGACAGTCCCCATGGAAATCCACTTTGGGTCTCCTGCTTTCAGCTTTCCTCTAATAAATTTTCTTCCAATGTATCTCCCACATCCTTGAGTCCATTCTATGGCACCATGAGACACAAACATGGTTTGTGTGCCTACCCCATAACACCTGTACTTGAAACTCTGCCATCCTGGAGTTTTGCCTTCAAGATGTTAACTTTTTGATTTCTGAAAACACTGAGCACTATTCACTTTAAGAAACTATTTATAAAACATTAATAGAGTAGTAAGAGTAGTAATAGAGTAGTAACAGTTAATGGCACCATGTTTATTCATTGCTATAAGGGATAGTTCATGAGCATTTCCTGAGTTTTCCACACTTTCACAGGTATATATGGCTCAGGAGAAAAGCTTACGTATCATTCAAGGAAAACAAGGCAAGAAGCATGAAGGAAGAAATAGTAAAATTTACAGGATTTGGTAGAAACAGTGAAAAGAAAAATCAGGTGATTGTAAAAATGATGGAGGGGGCACTGGGCCGAGGAACATATAGAAAGTTATTTTTCACATAATGTGAATAAGTTTGCTGTTTTTTAAAAAGAAGTTATGAAGAGGACCAGGGATTTAGCTCAGTGGTGCTGCCACCACTCAGTGGTGAAGTTATGAAGAAACATAGTTCAATTGTCAGTCAAAAAACAATGAGATCTACCTTCAAAAATAGTAGCAGTATTTATCCAAGTTGGATGAGAGGCGTGAGTCTCATGTTTATGTATAGGTATACCTCAGTGTAAAGTTCAGTGGTTTATGTTAGGAAGAATACAGTATTAAAGCTAAGACTTCCATGTTCTCTTACTTTTATTTTTTTGTTCTTGTTTTTGTTTTTTGGTACCAGGGATCGAACTCGGGACCTTGAGCTTGCGAGGCAGGCAGTGGAACCACTGAACTAAATACCCGGCCCTGTTCTCTTAATTTTAAATGAAATAAATAAGACACACAGGTTTAAATATTGTATTGTTTCTCTTGTGTGAGAAACCAAAAGAGTAAATAAGAACTAAAATGGATGATAGATATTAGGAAGTAGAAAGAAAATGTTCAAATGGAAAAGAGAGCAAGGGAGAGGAGAGAGGGAAGAGACGGAAGAGAAAGTAAAAAAGGCAGGAGAGATTACCCAGCAGCCCTTCGCGGTCCAACTGTCATGTGTGCACCTTCAGGGTGGGTCTGGAGCCACCATGGGGAAGGTAGATGTAGCCAAGCTGCGTTACATGAGCCGGGATGACTTCAGGCTTTTGACTGTGGTTGAAATGGGTATGAAGAACCATGAAATAGTTCCCTGCAGTTTGATTGTTTCTATTGCCAGCCTGAAACATGGTGGCTGTAATAAAATTTGAAGAGAATTAGTGAAACAAACTCACAGCTTGGGAAAGTACCAAAACTGTCCAGGGATATCGGTTGACAAATGAGGGCCATGATTACCTAGCTTTGAAAACAGTTTCTTCTAGACAGGTAGTTGAGTCTGTTGGAAACCAGATGGGTGTTGGCAAAGAATCAGATATTTACATTGTTGTAAATGAAGGACAGCAGTTTGCATTAAAGCTTCATAGACTAGGAAGAACCTCCTCCCAAAATCTGAAAAACAAGTGTGATTACTGTAAGCACAGGCATAATGTTTCTTGGCTTTATTTGCCTTGTCTCTCTGCCATGAAGGAATTTGCTTATATGAAGGCATTGCACTATAGAAAATTTCCAGTTCCAAAGCCAGTTGATTATAATCGCCATGCCATGGTCATGGAGCTCATAACTGGTTATCCCCTATGTCAAATACACGACATTGAAGATCCTGCATCAGTATATGATGAAGGGACA